TTTATCAAATGTATTGTAGTATTTGCTGATTTAATTGGTTTAAAACAAGTCGGTGACACCATTGGTTGACAGTTATTTTTCATTTATATTCATTGAACAAATGAAAATTCAAAGTGTTGTTGAGAATGAAAAAATACTTTTCTTTCAAATTTAAAATTTACATAAATTAAATAATGTTGCAATATAACTTGTACTGTTTTTACGGATGTTATAAAAAAAAAGTTGCATAAAAATGAAATGGAAAAAATTGAAATATTTGTAAAATTAAAAGCTAAATTTTAAATTTAATTTAAATTTCATGAATATTGTAAAAAGAAATTCCCTTTTTCTCAATTTTTAATTAATGATAGGAAGAACTGAAGTAAAATTGATAGATATCCATCCTGCTATTCAAAATGCACTAAGAGACAGGATGGCATGAATTTGAATATTCTGGAAGTAAATCCAAGCAAGCGGCAATCTTGGTTTTCATGCAATTATTCAAATATATCTTGCAGTACTTTACTACCTCTTGTAACTCTTCAACTATGACAAGAACTGCTATCCATTCATCTGTTGGTGACATTTCTTTCTTTCTTTTTTTTGAAAAATGTAACTTCTTATTTATTCAAGTAAACTTCGTGACCGTGACACATTTTTCTTCATACATTTTATTCTATTATCAATTTGAAAAAATTTTCCGATTTTATTCACTTCCATTTATTTTCCTCTTTTTTCTTAATTTACATTTACCATTTACTTTTTTATTTACATTTCAACTTTTTGGTAAAATAATGAAAGTAGAAATTATTCTTTCCTAATCATTGGTCTAATTTTAGGATTGAAATTGGACATCGTTTGAAAAACTAATTATGTTTTATTTATTTATTATTATATTTAATGATGCAATTCAGATTATAAAATTGAGTTTGAGAGGAAATGAAAAGTTGAACTATTATAAAAATTATTCCATTTGCTCCTAAATTACTTCAATTTTATCCTATCATTAAACAAAAAAAAACACACACATGCACACATACAAATCATATGTTAAAATGAAATACTGTGTAAAATTCTAATTACTTTTATGATTCAAAGATTAACAGTACTTTATTGATTCTTTCAATTCTATCCTATCATCATTAAAAGATATTTGTAAAATTCTAGCTTGTTTTACGGTTCAGAGATTAGCAATACTTAATTAATTGTTCATCATGGCTAATTGAATACCACATCTATCTTGATTATTACTTAATTATTTTCATATCATCCTAAAATTTTTATAAATTAAAATCAGCTGCTCTAATCAGATTTATTAAAAGTGAAAATGAACTGAGCTATTCGAAATTTCATCTATTATGATGATCGTGATATTACTCATTGATATATTTCGTTTTAATTCATCATTTATTATCAGCATATCACTGTATCAAATGACAAATCCTATTAAGTGAATATTTTAGGTAAAGAAAAAATATAAATTGTTGGATATATTGAAACCAACTATTACAATGGAAGAAACTTTGATTTGTGATAAATCATTTAATGATCAATTTGAAATGAATGAAATGGAAGCGATGGAAATGAGGTCATCGATAATTTTTGGTTTTTTTTTTAATTTATTAATTGTATGATTTTCTATGGATTCTTTATTTTTTTAGTGTAACTAACAATTTTCTTCTAAACTGGACATGTGACAGGTAAAATTTTATGTCGCATGTTAACAGCTTAGAAAAAGCGAAAGATGACATATCATAGGAAAAGGTGAGAAAAAAAATAGGCTTAAACAGGAGTGATTTTTTATGATATTTAGTATATAAATTAAATTAAAAAATTTAATTTTAAGTTAAATTCTAAATTGAAAGTTAAATCATACAAATTGAATTCGAGAATGTAAGTAAAATCTAGTATATAAGTTAATTAATTTCAAAAATTCGTTTATATTTTTAAACCTACGTTTAGTGAGTGCAGGAATAATTTCATGTGATATTTAATATTTATGTTAAATTAAAATAATTTGCAGAATTTGTTTACATATGCATTTTTTTTAATTGCAAAAGAAATTTATTTGGTTACATTTTGATGAAATTAACAGAAATTATGAAGTTTTTGATTGGAATTTGGGAAATATTTTGTGAAAGTTAAAGTGATTTTTAATTAATTCAATTTTCAATAAACTTATTAGCTTTAAAAATAACATCCTTTTATAAGCTTTGCTGCAGAAATTATAATCAGATTTGATCAAGCAAGATGATAATAATAATAATAATAACAATAATAATAATAATAATAATAATAATAATAATAATAATAATAATAATAATAATAA